CCGTGCTGTTTATTTGGGGCGCTGGGCGTGACGGGGCGCCGGCGGGGCCCTCCCGGACGGGTTTCTCAGGCTGCGCCCCCGGGAGGGACGCCCTGGGGTCCCGGGGCCCGGCCAGGCTGCCGACCGGCCCGCCTCGCCCAGGTGGCCCTCATCCACTTCTACTTCAACCTGGCCGGCATCCTGCTGTGGTACGTGGTGCCGGTGCTGCGGCTGCCCATCCCGCTGGCCAGGAGCTTCGGGAACCTGACTGCCCGCTACCGCTGGGTGGCCGTCGTCTACCTGCTGCTCAGCTTCCTGCTGCTGCCTCTGGCTGCCTTCGGGCTCTCCCTGGCGGGGGGCGTGGTGCTGGCTGCTGTTGGGGGGCCCCTGGTGGGGCTGCTGCTCCTCGTGGTGGCCATCAACTTCCTGCAGCGGCACCGGCCGGCCTGGCTGCCCAGCCCCCTGCGGTCCTGGGCCTGGCTCCCTCGCTGGCTCCACTCCCTGGAGCCCTGGGACCGCCTGGTGACCCGCTGCTGCCCCTGCCGGGCCTGCAGCCCCCCACCGGCCGCCGCCAAGGAGGCCCAGTGCTACGACAACCCTGAGGTCCTGGCGTCCGAGCCGCTGTGAAGGTGGTGCCAGCACCCCACCGGCGCGGGCGTCCGGGGGATCCCCAGAGCAGACTCTGGGTCTCCTGGCCCCGTTCTTTGCAAATAAAGGCGGCCCTGTCCAACCCCAGCCCGCTGACCCGTGCTGGCTTCCCCGGCTGGTGCTGCCTGGGCTGGGCCTCTGGTGCTTCAGTGCCCTCTAGCGGCCAGCCAGGGCGGGAGCAGGCACCGGTCAGGCAGGGGCAGCCAGGCCCGGCCCTTGGCTCTCTGGCGCGCTGTGGACAGGCAGCGGCAGTCCAGTGGCTGAGGAGGCGGCCTCCCCTCCCGCGCCTGGCGCCCAGCCTCCAGGGGTGGCGAGCCTGAGAGGGACAAGAGGGGAGCGACCAGGACCCCGGCCCGGCCCCTGCTGTGCGGGGCGCTCAGCCCCTGGGGTGCTCCCGTCACCCACAGGGCACCAGCACGCCCAAGGGCGCCTGGGCCAGCAGCCCACCCCAGGACGGGCCCAGAGCCCGGTGCCCGCACAGATGTGCAGCCGGCGCCCGCCCTCCCCTCGGGGGCTGCCCTGCCCGTCCGCTCCTGCCCAGCCAGACCCTGTTGGGCGAGGTGACTGGTCAGGGAGAGGCTCTGTCCTCCACGCCTCCCGTGCACGCCGCCCCGTGGGGTCCCTCAGGCGCCTCGGTGCCCCACGGGTCCCCCCGGCCTCAGTCCCCTTCAGACCAACAAACTCCTAGGCCCCCCGGTCCTGCTCCTCAAGGGAGGGCCCGTTTGGGGACCACGAGGGTCCGCCTGGGAGCAAGGCAGGCTCGTGCACCCCAGCTGGGCCCCCACTTCTGAGACCTCAGAACTCTTACACTCCCAGTAGAAGCCCCCAGGTGGGGGCAGCCAGAGGGAAGAACACCCTCTCTCCTTCCGGGGCGGGTGGGCCTTCCACCAAGGCTAGCCGCAGGTCCTCTGAGGCCACGCAGGGCTGCCCGCCTGCCACCCCGCCTGGCGGTAAGGCAGCCTCCCCCGGGACTGGGGCGCGGGACACAGAGCCGCCTGTGGCTGCTGGGACGCCCGGCCCGGCGGGAGGCCGCCTGCGCGCCCAGCCAGGCCTCTGGGCCGGCGCCAGCTGCTGCCCTCTCCACTGCTCAGCCACCCACTGACCCCGGGCAGCAGCAGGTCCGCCCAGCGGGCGAGGGCAGGGCCAGCTTTGGGGTGCGCGCCTGACTGTGCCCCACCTGTATTTTACTGCTGGTAAAAGGGGGCCACGTGCAGCGCCGGCCCCAGGGGCAGGGACTGCAGGACCAGGGGCTTTTGCGACCGAGTGGTCTCAGGCCGCCTCTGCACTGACAAACCAGCAGTGGCCACAGCAGGGTCTCCAGGCCCGCGGCTGCTCAGGGGAGACTTGAGCTGCTCTCCAGGATTTATGACGAGGCAGGCCAGCAGGCCACGGCCCACGGCCCTTGGGCTGAAGGCGCGGCCCCAGGAGGGCCTGCCAGGGAGCGGCACCTCGTGTGGGGCGGCACCTGCCCCCCGGCGGAGGCTCCCCACCAGGCCCGTGTCCCCACGCTCACAGCCCCGGAAGTGGCCAGGTATTGGGCTGGAGAGCAGAGGGGCGCGCTCACCCAGAAAACCAGCGACACCACCCAGGGCAGGCGGGGCGGGTGGAAGCGCGGACGGGCGGGCCGTGGGGTCCCGGAGCCCCGCGCCCGAGGCGCCCCGCGCAGCTCCGCGTTCATTTTGCTAAACACAAGCCCAACGCGGCGGGCGAGCACTTGTCGGGGCAGGCCCGCGCTGCGAGGGGGCGCAGGGCGGCCGCAGAGGCTGGGGGGACGGGGGACGCCGGCCCGTGCTCTCGAAGGCG